AAATATAATCAGAACACAGAAAGCAAGAAATAGTTGAAATCTCATTGAAAATGAAATCGTTAACAAAAACCCACTAAAGCTGCATACAAGCCCTTACAACACAGAGAGATGCTTTACAAACAAAGAAAATTTAGCAGAAAGCTACTTTAGCTTTCCTCTCAAGTTCTCAACAGACATCCAGATGATGCAGAACAAGAACATTTAAATGTAACAAATAGCCAAATATTAAAATCTGGACGCTCAAAAGCTACTCTGAACAAACGCAGAAAAATTAAGAATCTACCAACAGATTTGGAGTCACCCAGAAGCTAAATCTGAAGAAATTACATCTAGCACTTTCAAGTAATTTACCTTCAGAGTCCAGTAAAGCAGCAACCCAGAAAAACAAGAATCTTCAAAAGAGTTTATCTCCACGGGCAAAATCCATGAAAGTAGCGGAAAAAATCAAAATGCATATTCAACCCATGTTCCATTTATCATAGTAAAAAAATAATATTGACAGAGAGAGTCAACTAAGCAAGTGAATAAAAGCAGCAGCAGCACTACTCAAAACCCAAATGGAAAAGTGAACAGAAGTACCAAAAAGTCGCATGCAACTTGAAAGAGGAGAATACCAACCATAAAAAGGAGGCTTTAAACAATCATTTCAGATTGGAGTAAGAAAACCCACCTTTGCCTTGGAGTCAGACACTAGAGGAAGAGCCGACGGTGCTAACTGAGACACCAAAGATTCTCTTTCTTAAACTCTCTGTTTGTGACAATTTGCATTTGGAGAAAAAGGCCACTTCTTTCGCTTTCAATTTGTTAAAAAAAGAAATTTATTCAGACCACCATTTCCTTTTACGTCCGACAACAAAACACATCAGATGTCTTTATACAAAGAATTGGATTCTCTCTCTTTCTCTCTCCTCACTCTCTCTCTCTCTCTCTCACACTAGCTTTGTGTGAGTGATGAGTGATGAGTGATGACATGATCAACATAAAACAGTCTTTCTCCAGCATTGCTCAACTATGGTTAGTTTTTCTTTTCTTTTCTTTTCTTTTTTGGTCAGGATTTTAACTCAACTTCAGGAAGAGGAAAGTAGCTCAGGAAGGAGACTTGGAGCGGAATAGAATGTGAGCTTTGTATTCACGAAAATAACATTGGCCATTTCAAGTTTTGTCGTATTATATTAGTTTTCTTTTTTCTTTTTCATTTTGTCTATTTGCAAACCTTGGCGGCACCTAACCACGTTTTTGTATTAAGTTTCATATTTTCATTTCACGAAAATTAAATAATGTAAATCAGTTCATATGCAGATTGGCAATGCAATCCCCAATGCAAAAAACTGAAATCCTAGATTTTGGTCAAAATATGGGTCGAGGCATGTAGAAGCTTTGTAGAAGTTTTTCTTTTGGTCACCGCACTTTCAATTTTCCGATTTTGGTTATTGGATTTGCAACTATTAAATTATATCAAATGTTTCAATTCCGTTAATTTCATTAATTTATTTATTTTAAATATTAAATTAAAAAATAAATCAAATTTAATTATTGGGCAGTGGCTATGCCGGATCTAGGCTGGGTGGATGACAGTGAGAAGGGTGGTGGCTGCGTGGTGGTTCACTGGAGACTGGCAAACGTGGTTGTTTTGGTGGTGGCAGCTGGGAGCTTATAGAATGCGGAGGTTAATATGCAGAGCTTATTTGCGGGATGTTAACAACCGTTCAATTAAAATGAACAGTTCAGTTTCAAAATTGTAGTTTTATTACAACCGGGTTTAAATGACCCATAAGAAAAATCTCAACCCGCGAGTGACTTCAGTTTCACCCTTCGTCCTTCTCCTTTTTATCTCTCATCTCCTTCTCTCTATGCGACAACCAACAACCTCACATCCATGATTCAGCCCCCTCCTTCTACCTCCTCCCACCACCTAATTCTTCTCTTTCTCTCCCTTTGAAATCCACGAAACTCAAGTTCCATATATGGTTTTTTTTTCTTCTTTTAACAGGACTGACATACACAAAATTGAATTTGATCTAGGTTGGGTTTCAGGTGGGTGTGGGGTGGGATGGTCGTGGTGGAGGGATGGCTAGTAGGCTAGGGTGGTTAGAATCGAGGGGGAGGGAGGGTAGAAAGGAGCAGGGGGAGGGGAGTGAGCTGGGATGGATGAATTTTCTCCCCCTTTTTTCTAATATTTCTTTTCATTTTTTATCTACAAATTTTGATTTTTCACCAAATTTTACAAAGAAATATTCATGTATTGTTTCATAACTTACGATACATTTTAGATTAATCATTTCTCTATTTTTGATTTCCCCCCATAATTCTATTTTTTTTTAAATAGAATTTCAAAAAGCATTCTTTCTGGGTTTGGGACAAGGTAATTTTCCAAGAAGTGCATATGGACCCAATACAAGTTGCTCTGGAAGACCTCTGAAGGCATAAGAAGTAAGAGCAGAAGCATCATGTGATTCAATTTGGGTTGGGGCATTGGGTTGGGGATGGGTGGTTGTGGCGAGGTGAGGAATGGAAGTATGGTTGTCTGGGAGATAAAGGGTTAGGAGGGGCTGGGGGTGTTGAATGCTTCTTCTTTTTTTTTTTTTATAAATATAATTATTATTTATTATAATTTTTAATTTTTAATTTTTTTTGGTACATAATGCTTCTTCTTTCACCTTCACTTTCACTTTCGACAATGATGCTTTCTTTACCTTTCTTTTTTTTTTTTTTTGGTGAAAGATGCACCAAAATTTGAAATATACACCAAAATTTTATCCCGTGTATAATTAAAAGTAATTCTTTATCCCAAACCATGTTCGCTAATGGGCCAATAAAATGGCAATAATACTTCAGTAATAATTCACTCAATGTTTTGTATGGATTGCTATGTATTTATTATGAATATTGGAAGTTATAGCATAGAAAATTAATAATAAATTGAAGAGAACAACATGTAGCTTCGGAGATTGGTACATCGTTAAGGTTTCTGAATGGTGTTCTTCCCGCATAGCTCCAAGTTTTTTCTTATGATTTTTATTTTTTGAATGTTTTAAGGTAAACAAAAAAGTAATAGAAACTAAAGTTTTTTAACATTAATTTGTTTATAAACAAACCAAAACCATACTTGAGTTTTATTACATTAATCTGTTTATAAACAAGCCAACACCATACTTAAGTTTATTAACATCACACTTTCGTTTCTTTGATCCAATAATTACCATGAATTCAAATCGGTTGAATTATGATTTTTAGAATTCTAATATCGAAGACATTGTCGTAAGGAGCATGTAGCTTTTTTAGGGTATATTTTTAATTATAAGTGAAAATTATACTTTAGAGCTTTGGGGTACAGAGAATGTCACAAGGAGTTCCTAGGAATTTTCAAGGTATTTTTTGGATTTTTAATTAATTTATTATGAATTTTAGAAGTAAAATCAAGAAAATTAATATTAAATAGTATAGGGCAACATTGGCAGCAGCTAAAGGTGGCCCCGTCATTTTTTCCAAAAGGTGGTGTAACAGGACTGCGCCACATATCATTTTGATTACTTTTTGAAGTTTATCCTATAAAAAGAATTTTTAAAAAATTAAAATCAGAAAAATACACCGAAAATTGTGACAAATTCCTCACGACATCATCCTCGAATATGGAGGTCCAAAATTATGATTTCACATATTTTAGTACAAGGTAGTCGTTGGATCAAAGAACATGAGTGTTAAGTTACAAAACATCAACTAGTGTTTTATATTGTTTAGAAACAAGAGTTTTCATTATCACTTCACATTTTTATAAGTAAAAATTTTACTTTTATAGTTTGAGGGTGTAGAGAATGTCACAAGGAGTTCTTAAGAATTTTCGGTGTATTTTTTGGATTTTTAATTAATTAATTATGAATTTTATAAGTAAAATCAAGGAAAAATATTATTAAATAGTATAGGGCGACACGTGGCATCAGCTGAAGGTGGTGCCGTCAGTGTTTCCAACAGGTGGCGTACCACGATTGCTCCACATGTCATTTTGATTACTTTTTCCAATTTTATCTTTAAAAATTCTTTAAAAATAATTACTAATCAGAAAAATACACCGAAAATTGCTACAAACTCTTCAAGACATCATCTTCGATTGTGAAGGTCTAAAATCATGATTTCACATATTTGAATTTAAGGTAATCGTTTGATTAAAGAACATGAGTATTATGTTATAGGACATCAATTAGTGTTTTTAATTGCTTAGAAACAAAGTTGAGTTTTATTATCAGTTGACATTTTTATAAATAAAAATTATACTTTTAGAACTTGACAATGTAGATAATGTCACAAGAAGTTCCTAGGAATTTTCGATGTATTTTTTGAATTTTGAATTAATTTATTATGAATTTTTAGAAATTAAATCCAAGAAAAATACTATTAAATAGTATAGGTCGACAAATGGCAGTGCTGAAGGTGGCGCCGTCAATGTTTCCAATAGGTGGCGTTCCCCGATTGTGCCACATGTCATTTTGGTTAAAATTTTCAAGTTTATCTTTAAAAAATTATTTAAAAATAATTAAAAATCATAAAAATACACCCAAAATTGATACAAACTCCTCACGACATCATCCTCAATTATGAAAGTCCAAAATCATGATTTCACATATTTGAGTTTAAGATAATTGTTGGATCAAACAACATGAGTGTTAAGTTATAGAACATCAACTAGTATTTCAGATTGTTTTGAAATAAAATTGAGTTTTAGTTATCATTTTATATTTTTATAATATAAAAATTATACTTTTAGAGATTGAGGGTGTATAGAATGTCAGAAGAGGTTCCTATAAATTTTTGATGTATTTTTTAGATTTTTAATTAATTAATTATGAATTTTAGAAGTTAAATTAATGAAAAATAATATGAAATAGTATAGGGCGACACATGGCAGCAGTTGAAGATGGCTCCATCAGTGTTTCCAACAGGTGGCGTCCCACGATTGCGCCACATGTTGTTTTGGTTACTTTTTTCAAGTTTAT